TTCTTTTTGATCTTGTGGTATAATTTTTTCTTCTAATTTTTGACTTTTTCTTTCTGTTTGAGTGATTTTTTTGTTGTCTATGTTTTTTGATATTCGTTTGGGAAGTTCTTTGTCCTTTTTATCTAATTGTTTTCGGATGGGGTACATATCAGTGCTTTAATTTTGATGTTGTTTTGAGCTATTTTGAATATCTTTAAGTCCTTTAAAAGAGTATAGTTGAGTAAGTTCTCGAAGTGCGTACTCTTTTGGGTAATAAGGTAAAAGATTGTTTCGATGTTGAACGATTTTTTTTGTTTAAGTCTGCAAGTTTGTATGTTACATCAGTGGCTTTATCAATTATTTGATACGGTCCTTTTCAAATTAAAAAAATTTGTTCAGATTTTTAAATTTGTAGCTGGGGTAAATCGGGAATTTATTTGGGAATTCATATTTTGTCTTTGTAATACTTTTTTGTTACTTTCTACTAAATTTCGTTGTGGTTTTGTCTGTGTTCAAAATCCATTCAGTGTGTGTATCGGAAGCTAATTTTAAAGTTTGTGGATGATGAAAGTAATCTTCATCGTGGGTATGTAGTGGTAGAATATAACATATTGACTCTATAGTGGGTTGACAATAACCTTGTGTATTTTTGTTTAATTGGCATATTAAGCAATCCTTGCATAATACTAAAATGGTGTCCATATGTTCGATGGAGGTTGCCGTGCGTGTTTATCGGGGCGCAAAGTACTGCTTCGCTCAAACTCTGTTAGTATACAATTTTTTTTTCACTTTGATTTTTTTTGTTTTTCGTTATATTGAATTCTTAAAAAATTTCTCCCTAGCGCAATTTAAAATGTATTCATCTAATTCTTTCTCCTAGTCATAGCCATTAGTCATCTCTAGGGCCCAACATGTTTAGAGTTTTGATTTTTAGCCTTAGTTTTGAAAAAATTGGAAAAATATGTCCAAATTTCTTGTTTTTTGGTGGATTTCAGAGGTTTGGGTTGGGACGCGAGTTTTTCTCATCTTGATCTTTTGGGTCTGCTTCGATTAATTAATCTGGGTCTTTTAGGCTAGATCTTGCGTCTCGCAAAACAAGATTTCACGATTTTGTGAAAAAATTGAAAAATTTGACCTAAAGTTCATTAAAAATTGTGCCATTTTTGGCCTGTTTTTCGAGGGTTTTTCGTGCAATTTGTGTCTTAAACTTTATTTTTTTTGTGCTCAAAATGGTGTCTAACATTTACGGACACTTATTGTCGGAGTGTTTGTAATTTAATTTGTGTCACGTTTTAAATTCGGTTTTTTAGTACTTGGGTTTCTTCGTTTTGAAAATCGTTTCCTAATAAATTGTTTTTGTTTGTTAAAAATTTTCTTTCTCAGTGTTTGTCTTTTTGTTCTTATGTATCCTATTGTCTGCCTGTGTGATGTGATTACGAGGTCGTATTTTTTGTCGTTAATTAAACAATTGTGTATTATGATTGTTTGTTTGTTTCCTAAATTGTCTCTTGACATAAGGTTTACGATGATGGATGCAATATTTGGGTTAATGGTTTCCAATGTCTTAAGCTGTTAGTTCTTACGACTTTTTGTGGTTAGCTTAACTTGGGTCGTATTGTTGGGTTGGAGAGAAAAGCGTATATCGATTCCGAAGAATGATTTTTACTTTCTCGTGGCTAGTCTAATTTAAGGTGTTAACTTACGTAACCTTACTTAGGGGTAGTGATTGTGTTCAAGGGTTGGAGAATAGTAAATCGATCCACAAGGTTCAAGTATAATTAGAACACAAGTAGTTCGTTAGATATTGTTTTAAACTTACTAATTTTAAGTATTATCCTGGGTCAAGTAAGAGGGGGGGTCAAGTGAAGGATGAATAACCGAAGTTCTTCATTGTTTATCCTAATTAGAATGGTTAGTGTGATTGAAAAATTTCTATTAGTCCAGAGTCTTGTGAAAGGGTTGTGTAGTGAATTGACGTTTGAGGTCGTTAGACACTTAACTAATTGTGAGGGGGGAAACAAAATTGTTCTATTTGATCCAAGGATAAGCCTTGATGATCAGGATATAAAATTATTGAAATTTAATTTAATTTAGATATAAGGAATTAAAGATCCAAGGAAAGCCTTGATGATCAGAATGTTTAGATAAACTAATTTATTTTAATTTAAGTGAAAATAATTTAAAGATCCAAGGGTAGCCTTGACGATCTGTTATTTTAAATGAATTTAGTTTAAGTGAAAACAAGGATAAGCCTTGATAATTTTTAGGTAAAGGTTTAGATGAAGAAAAGGTTAAGTGTTTAGTTTTGATGATGTTAATGTTTTGAGATTTGCTGTTATGTTTTAGCTGATGATGCTGGGATGAAAGGATGATTTATATTTACTAACAATTATGCTTTATACTAACTAATTTTTTTTTTCATATTCAATAAATAATTTTTCAAGATGTTATTTAATTTACAGCTGATTTAAGAAAAACGACAACGGTGTTTTTATCAGTCGTTATTGTGCAATTATTAGGTTTAGCGCCATGAAAGATTATTGAAGATAATTCTTCAAATATTATTTCAGTAAATGAAATTTCGAATTTACTGCTGGAAGTATTCTAAATATAAAAGTTTGATCTCGTTTTTGTCGTACAATCAAGAAATCGAATGTTAGATTTCTTCCTAGTCGTACGTCGTATCTTTTCCGAGGTCTTCTTCCAATACTGGGTAGTTCTCGTATTGTTCGGATAATTGGCTTTGATCTATTGAGTCGTGGAGACATTTCTGCTAAATTTTTGTCACTTAACATTTTTTTAAATGTTGTATTTGTCTAATTCTAATCTAATGTCTTGGTTAATTTTCTAATCTAGGTTAGTTAAGGTCTGTTCGAAACTTTTTGTTCGCACCAGATAATTTCGGATAGGGTACACCGTCTGCTCGTCACGCTATCTTATTTTCGGCCGGATAGATTCGTGCAACTTCTTAGTCTAATACCGATCCTAATCTTACTCTTATATCTACTATTCTCAGGGTATTTAACTAGTTTCTGCTAGGCTCAATAGATCTAGAGTATACTGGCTAATGCGAGTTAGTTCCAGAATGAGAATAACTGTATTCTAAGTTTAATTCAAATTGCTCTGGTGTTCAAACTACAAGTAGTTTCAACACTTACAAATAAGTGGGTTGTTAGAATGATGGAGTATGGTTGGTTAGTATTTAATATTTTATCGAGATAAAATATCATAATAATAACCAATGATAAATACTAGTTTAGATCTGGTTCCAAAACTGAATTAAGATTGACTAACTGATCGAAATATTTTACTACTAGACGCATAATTCGTAAAATTTCCTCTTCACAATATGAAAGTTGAAAAATTGAAAACTGCATCAGACATTGATAAAGGCAGTCAAAAATATTGTGTTCGTCGCCCTGAAACGAGAAGATTTAAGAATTGGTAATAGGATACTATAATAACTTAGAGACTGCTTCCAGAAAAAGACCAAGTACTTTTCAATAGTATCATCATTGTTCCGAGATTCAACACAGAGGTGAAGCTGAACTTCGCACCACTTGAACTGTGAATGACTGTGATTAAAACAAATGAAAAGAAAAGTCAAAAACTGGAGAAGAACTTTTGGATGGGAACTGCTGGGCTTTGGTGTTAAGACTGAGTGTTTAGTAACTTAGAAGAAAGCTGAAAAGAAATCGCGCAGGGAATCAAGCAGACAAAAATTAGCAGACGGACGATAGTCCGAAAAAGCACAAAACATCTCTAAGTTTGAAAAAAAGGTCACGGCTGGATTCGCACCGTAGCCTCTGCCGTCTCATAAACAGGTTTGTTAGCTCTGCGCCAGGTGGTTGATTGAACTTACAGTTTATAAAAGATAAACTGTAAGTTCAACCTCTGCCTCTGCCTCTGCTTTGCTGCATATATACAATAAATACATAGCTCTTCATCGGGTAACGAATAAAAATAGGAAAAACAGTCACTCAAACTGAGGCTACTTTTTTGATAATTCTACAAATCATTATTTTCAGAGGCAGGTGGTATATCAATGGAAACTAAAACACCATTTAAAAAAAGGTTCAATTCTTTAAATTTACAGGAAAGCTCAAAAAAACATTATCTAGATCCGAAATTTAGCAATGTCACCCAAAAAATCTGAAGACGGTTGCTGAACTTCAGATACTGGAATCTATATCACGATCAAAAAGGCTTAAATGTGATACAATGCTTAATTCCCTAGGCCCAATTTTGATGAAGTCAGAACCCTTCGGAAAAAAACACCCTACACCATAGTTTTTATAATGCTCTTTAGGAACGAATAAAGCTTCATTGGAATCAACTGTTGCCTCTCAAACAACTTCCATCATCTCTCGGACAATGATACTTGACATTACTGACGTTGTGGTGACCATATCCTTAGTATCAAGAAACAAAACATAGTCAACGAGTTGGAAAAGAGTCAGGAACGCAACGGAAGAAAACTGGATCAATAGGTAAAGTTGAACACAAAAAATTCATTATTAAATGCAGTACTATGTATGAATGCACATCTGTAGTTATTAGAGCATTTTAAAGACTTTTCCATGCAAAAAAAAAAACTAAAAGATCACCACGACCTATATGAGAGTCTTCACTACGCTTCTTCACAGTTTGTTTTGACCTTCAAATGCAGTATTCACTTTTGCAAAATCTTTGCTCAAAACAAGGGGTTCGGATCAAGTATTCAATAGAAAAACAATTTCGAGCTTGTTTATGGCTAATAATCGATTCATAGCCCAAGTTTTATTGAGAATGCTGCTTTATTTAGGGAGCACAGTTAATTTCTAGACATCAATCCAATTGCAAAAACTTCGTCTCACCAATTTGGAAGAAAAAGGGCGATTAGGAATTTCATACATTCGAAAGTGATTGCAATTTATTTGCATCATCAGATAGTGGGCTTTTATATAACTTTGAACAGCCTTTTAAAAAAAATCAAACGGGTTGAACTTCGAAATTAATTGGATTAATTAAATTGTGATTTATTTGCATTCATGAGTTTATGTTATCCAAAAGAATTAGCGAACAAAACAAGATCATCGAAACTTTGTGACAGGAGAGTTTTCAATGCAAGTTGTTTCAGAAAAGATCCATTTTGATACGCGACTATTTGAAACATTTGCTCCTCCTGTAACATGTTCTGAGCTGCTTAACCATTGAAATAGAAGGCAAAAAAACAAGAGCTCAAATGTTAATGGTAAATTACAAAAGAAACTGTGCTGTCACAAAAAAACTCGACAACTGGTTTTGCCAAATTCAATTCTAGACAAATTTTGTTCATAAATTTTCAGTGGTTACTTTTTCTTCTTGCTGCCCTGTCGACCAGTTCTTTTCCTTTTCAGATATTTGTACGGCCCAAGTGCTTTTCTAACCATAACTCCTCTCCAAGCCGACTGAAGTTTAACTGCTGCCCATTTGGTCTTCATTCTAAACTCCGATTCCATCCTTGCCTGTTCCATTTCGCACTCGTAAACTGAGCTGAACTCATTGATCATTTCACGCTCTAACTCAGCATTTTTCAAGTGACCTACAAAAACTCAAAGTTTTCTTACATTTGCACAAAAGATGAGCTTTTTTCGCAATAAACCAGTTTTTTCATCAGTTTTTTTATTTCTCGTTGCTAGAAGGTGAGGCTACATGCAGCCGAGAACAAAATATGAAAAAAAATTGATGCCAGGCCTTAACCAGAGGCAGAGCAGCTGTTCTCTGTAAAGATCTGAACAGCTCGACAGTTGGTCCTAGCTCAAGAGGATGGATCGGCAGAGCTTAAAGAACGCTGATCAATGAATACGGTACAAACTTGGACCTCTTTTTTTGATAAAATTGAGAAAAAATTGATGAAAAAAATTTTTTGTGTCGGAAAATGAAAATATAGAGACGCACTTTTTAAAAATTTTTTAATAACTTTTTTCACATTTTCGTGGTTGTTTATGACAGAAAATGTGCCATACTGGAGCGGTCGACCCGTCAAAATTTAAGGATGCGAGCAACGGTAATTGCAAAGGTATAAGAAATGACTCACTAACAATCTTGAGCTATGCTTAATCGAAAGAGGGTAACCTTCATAAACGCATATTTGTCACACTTAGGGGGAGGTTTCAGCTCAAGGTTAAGTTAGATCCAAATTCGATGGCGGATAACATGCTGGCTGTTTAAAGTGTTTTTAATTTTGAGGTTGAAAATAACCCAACTTCAACTTCTACGTAATAATTATAATAAACAGCCACTAATCGTCATATTTATCATAAAGATTGTATACCACAAGAGATAACCATGTTCCACAAATTGTCAGCGAATCAGCCAGCGGTATTTTTTGTTAAAGTATCGGTAATGCCATCGGTATTCAAAATTTCAAAAATACTCTGTAAGATAATTTTATAAACATACTTATATTAATAAACTTACCCTTGCACACTTTGATTTTGGCGTTTAGCTCGGTAATTCTTCCGGCTATTTCCTTGATGTCGGCATCACATGCAGCTAATGAACTCCGTTTCTTTGCCTAAAAATGACAGTCTTACGATTTCGTGTGCGATTACGAGGGTAAAAACTAATTCTTTTTAAATTTATCAAGACAAATTTTTCATTTTTTTCATTTTTTTTGTTTCGCGATTTGTTTCGCACTTGGTTGTCAAATATATCGATAATTTTACACAGATGCGAAGTCGCACTTCGCATACACAAGCAAAAATGTGACCCCTAACGCTACTGGGTAAAACTGAATGAGTAAAACTTTCAGTCTACTTAATTGCTAAGTGACACAAGCCAATTATGAGCCATTAGCTGAACCAGTCAATTTGAAAAAAAAGAAGTTTACCAACTAACATGCCTCAATTTATGGAGCAGTCCATGGAGCTTTAATAACGTAAGAAATAACATGAACAAATCAATTATGGCAAATAAGCTTCTTCAATCAATTTGGAACGATTTTTATGATTGATTGAATCTCCGCTTACGCGTCAATGGCGCAAAATAAATCGCGCGTTAGTTTTCTCAAGTTAGCCGAAACAGCCATTTTTAAACCCCCATAACTTTACGAAAAATGATCACAGGTGAAATATATTTACCATTTAACATGCCTAAAATTTATAGAGCGGACGCATTTGAACAATTATACGAAAAATTTCATTGAAAACAGCCGATCCTGTTCAGGTTCGAAGCCACTTATTTTGTTGCGGGTCTCCTTCCCTACCTCTAGACAAGAGACCCATGATACCTTGAAGCTAAAGTGCTATTTTTAATATAATCGTTTGTGTCAATATCCTTAGCATTGGCTGTACTTAAGAGCTGGTTATTGATCAAAATAAACACTTTCACGCAGAGGCGGAGCTGAATTTTGTACCACTTGCGATACAAAAATCATAAAAAATATGAAGAAGAATTTAAAAAAAAAATGTGAACCAAAAGTTTTGTATAACTCGATAAAGGATACCTAGGGCCCAGTTTAAGCTGGATTTACGTGTTTGATATTTTTGAATGTGTTCTACTGATGCAGTATTTTCAAAATTTGAACTTTCCCCAAAATCTTAGTTGTTTCTCTACTAAATTGAATGAGAAGAGTGAAAATTTGAGATGTTAGAGTTTTCCCAAAGACATAACGTTTCTCTTAAAACAAATGAAAGATATCCGCTTTTGCAGGAAAAGTTTGTGCAACCACTTATTTCCATTAAACGTTTCACTTCAGATTTGATAGGGTAGTTTTTAAGAAAATTCAAAGCTGTGCTAAAAAACTTCAAAAAATTTCAATAAGTGTCAAATTCGAAGTTCCAATTTGTTCATTCATTTGAAGCCCATAATTTTTTCAAAAAAAAACTGGGCGCAGAAAATTACGAAGGTAAGCACTGAATAAGCTGTTGTGTCAATTACACTTATGATATCAGATTTAGCAGGATAGTTATCGAGAAAAGTTCAAAAAACGGCCAATAAATCAGATAGTTGACATTTCCGAGAACCATAGCTTTTTGTTTCGAAAAGTTTGCACGTAGACGCTTATGCAAAAAAAAATTCCCCCAACCTGTAATTTCGATTAAACCGAAAAACCCAGGTTTGGCAGTGATTACTATAATTTTTGCGTCATAAAATTTTGGGCATGATCGCGTAAGCAAAGGAGCTTTTCTTTTCTGAACTCGTTCTTTGGATTGAACCCAAGATATATGTGCTCCAAAATAATCAAAATTTGACATTCTGAAAAAACTAAATCAGTTTGCATGGCTCGTTAAACAGATTAAATGCGAAGAATAAATGCACAGATTTAAAGAAATTTATCTCCGAAAAATATGTTAACAGAAAGGAAATAGGTTGTTCTGAATTGTTTTTCCTAAAGTATTTTGCTAAGCAAAACTTTGGCCCGAACTTCGATAAGATTTTTCATCCTTTTAATTACTAGATGTACCGAGAAACTCTAGACCAGTAGAAAAAAATTGCCTCATTTAGCCCGTTTTTGCCTAAAATTGGGCTCATTGAGTAGACACCAAGCAAAAAAGAGACCAAATGGTTTTGACCTTTGTGTTTCTGAGTGTCTCGTTCAAGTGGATCTCCGACTTGTTCCGACACTGCTCCTCTTGATGTGTATGTTCCCTACACACTCCCAACTCCCTCTTTACCTCCCCTATCCTCCTCCCCCACTCTCTGTCTATCCGGCTAAGTGCAGCTTCAGCTGACTTTTTTGCATAGCTTGTCTCTTTCGACAAATTCATCCCTTGCTCTCCTGACAATAAACATGTCAACTTGTTTTAGGAAATGATTCGCTAAAAGATGAAAATGTTCACTCACAAAAGTGCAAATTAATCAAACAGGAGCTTTACAGCTTTTTCGGAAAACGTCTGATTTGCCCCTAGTTGAGGAGACAGGTAAGTTTTTGAGTTATTTGTCTCGGCTGGGAAATTTTGCATGAGCATAAAATCAAAGATCGTGGGCTGGACTCGAATCACAAAACTGTTGATTGAAAGCCGGAGTCACTAGCCAGTTGAAATTCTTTACCCAATAAATTATCTGATTCATTTTTTTCATTGTAGCTCGAAAAACATCTTCCCCGCAAAAATGCTAGTACGTCTTTATCAAGCTCATAGAAGCCAGATTCAGTTCTTCGTAGCATAAACGCTCTTAAAATCTTTAAAAAGTCAGCAAAAATTAATATTAGAGACTCAAAAATGAAAGGAAACGAGTGTTGTTCTTTTGTTTGCCAGGAAGGAGCTTACCAATGTAGCGATTCAATACTTTTATGTCTAAGCTCTGCTGTCTCAAGTTGGACTCTTTCTTTTTCTGGGCTCTGGCTAACTCCGCTTCCACTTTCTGGATCATCTCAAGAGTCTCATAATACCTGTTAGAACCAAATTAAAAACTAAAAAGAAACGCTGGTCGCTGTGCATGTAGTAGCGCAGGATTTACCAATCACAGAAAAGCAATTACGATGTTCGGAAAATATCCTTAACAAAATGGGAGAAAATGCAGTCAATTTAGATATGAAACTCATTCTTATCAGTGTAGAAATCAGCCTGAAAAACAAAAAATCAGTCGGAAAATTGAACCAAATTGTCTAGGCATAATAATTATGAACTCTGTTTAATCTCGAAATTCGATAGGGCTTCAACATCATATCACACTTATTTTTCCACGAATTTTTGGAGGCACCTAAGACCCAGCGAGGAAGCCACACATCATTATATTTCCTCCCCACTCCCCTTATAGGGTCGTAACAAAAAGAACCTATGGAAAAAAAACAACTTAAAAAACTGTCGGAATTTTGTTTTTCGTTTCATTGAAAAATTTTTAAAATTTTTCATGTGATCAAAGCAAGATTCTTGGGTCAAGATATGCGACTCAAGAAGAGACTTTGTAAGTTGCGCCGCTTTTCGAGCAAAATTTGAGGTCGGTCAAAATCCTCTCCTATAAGTCCCGCCGCCGAGGTCTTATTTTAATTCGCGCAGCCCACTTCTTATCACGAGTCGCGCAGCCCGAGTGTTATCTGAAGCCACCTGTCAAAATCGGATGTCACGGCTGTCAAAAAAAATTGATCTTCATTCGCGATGCTAAGAAAATCAGTTGGAGATGCGCGACAACCAAAAAGACGAGTGGCACGATTTAACAAGACTTTGAGCCGTAGTGCGAGTTATGAAAAGATTGGTGAAGCGACTTTAAAAAAAACGATTTCAGCGTCTCGATTTAGGAAAAGACTTATGTAACGTTTTAAAAAGACTTTGTCGGCGCGACTTACGAAAAGTTATTTAGCCGCGCCGCTACTTCAGAACGACTTTGGCGGCGCGACTCACGAAAAGTTATTCAGCCGCGCCGCTACTTAAGAACGACTTTGGCGGCGCGAATTCTAAAAAAGCCAGCCATAAAGCAATCAATTTTATTTCCCGCGGATGCACAATCACTGCAACTCAAATTAACGTTGACTAATCAAGCTGAGAACTGACAAAATTTTAACACATTAACTCCTGCTTATAACAAAACTCCGGTTTATCACCTCCTAAATATTTCCGATTTATCACATTATTTCATTACCCCTTAAAGCTACAAGCCTTTCCGTCAGAATATACAAATTGCGTACTCAATTCTAAAATAATTTAAAAAAAAATCAAAGCAAAAAGAAAAAAGTTTACCGGTTATGAGACATTATGTAAGACAAGAAAACTTTTCGTCCGATAACAACTTAATTTTTGAAATTCTGCCCACTGTGGAAACTGCCACCGCCTTGACAAACCTCATTTGTTAAATTTTTCGTGAGGTTTCGACGTATGATTTGAGGTTTCGACGTATGATTTGAGGTTTCGACGTATGCAGTAAGGTTAAATGCTTGCCACCTATTAACAAAATATAATTAACAAGATAAAATCTCTTAACAAAGTTACAACTATGATAGCGTGGTCCCACGCAAAAACAATTTTGATAGACAGTAGTATTATAATCCGCCGTGTGTCCTAAGGGGGTCATTGCTAAGAGGGGGGGGGGTCAAAAAGGTCTCAAAACCTAAGTGAGGGGTCCTAAAGTTTAGGACCCCTCACTCAGTTTTTGAGACCTTTTTGACCCCCCCTAGGAATGAACCCCCCACCTAAGGGCACACGGCGGATTACAGTTGAAGACCCTCAATTATTAGAGGTCCGCCAGTAAAGGGGTCCGCCTCGGACCCAAGGGCAAGGATTTTGCATTTTCCCAGCGCTTTGCCCACTATCACCGAAAAGTGCTGGGATCCTAATTTTGAGATCCAAAATTTTTTTTCGGCATCTCAACTAGGATTTTACCAAACAGTCGCAAAATGCTGGTTCCCTGGCGGAAATTAATTTTTTGGATCTTGAAATTTTTTCGTTTTTCTCGAAAAGTTTTCTACCGTCACTTTAAACGTACGAAATAGAATTGAAATGCATGGTCATTCTCAATCACCGCCGTCACTAACAACCTTCTTTCTTAACATCAGATACTGAAATGTTGAATATCAAAGAAGATAAAATGAGTTTAATAGGAAATTGGCACACTGAGGATTTTGATCAAGAAAATTTAACTTTCTCAGTTTTTCCAACTGGTGTCAGATCAAAAAGTAGTAAAATTCACAATCGTCATAAAGTTCTCTTCTCGAAGTTTGTTGAAATAGCAAAAAAAACATGCTCAAAGTTGTAAGCAGCTGTTTTATTTGAATGAGCTCTTACAAATAACGTGGTGCGTTTATACAAAACAGAAAAATGGTAGGGCTACTGATGTAACCATTGCTACTTATGAAAACCGATTTAATTACTCATTCGATTTTGACTTTAGGATGATTGAGAAAGGGGTGGTGCGAATGATTTGATTTTGTTTTGATAAATTTTCAAAATATCAAAAACTTCCAGTGATCTATCTGAATATCTACCACCGAGATATAGGACTGAGTAAGTGGTATCGGCTTGAAATTCGGCAGGTCCACGAGGTGTTGGAAAATATACAAAATGACAACTTTTCTGTTTTATATAAACGCACCACGTTATTTGTAAGAGCTCCTTCAAATAAAGTAGCTGTTTACAAGTTTGAGCATCTTTTTTTTTGCTATTTCAACAAACTTCGAGATGAGAACTTTATGACGATTGTGAATTTTACTACTTTTTGATCTAAGGGTGAACAATCTAAGAAGACAACTTAATGCACCTAAACTTTTACGTCAATCGTATGAACTGGCTACAAAGGACAGCTTTGGATATCTATAATAAGATTTAGATCCCCGAACATCAGACTGTCTCAGATACAGTTCAAACATAATGCCACCTGGTCCGTAAATTCTCTATTTACCATTGGATAAGGCAGAAGTGACACCCATCAAAATGAACGCGAAAAAAATATCTCTTCTGCAGAACATGGTACAATTGAAACTAAGTCAACTACGGAGCTTTATTAGAAAATCATCAAATACTCAAGTTATATCAGTCGTTTGTAAGAACTTGCTCAATATAGTCAACGGTATTGTGCCTGTTAGTATTCCAAATCTTAAAAATTTCGAAGGAACATATAAGATTCTAATCAATCCAAAAACGAGTCTCGAAACAAAAATTAGCTGTTATATTGAGTGAACAAGGGTTTTATCTAATCAGACATATACTTTATTTTTGCTTTAAGTATTTGAGAGCATAAAAAGACAGCACAAGAGTTTTTTTTGATTCCGAAGCATATTTATATTAGAGAACAACCCCATGCAGCGCAAATTTTGCTTGACAATTCAATCAAACATGAAAAACCGCAACTATCATACTTGAATCCGTTAAGACCCCTAAAAGCAACAACAACAACTAATCCTTCAGTTATACCAACACCCGAAACAATTATCAAAGCCCCAGCAGACAACAATCCACAAAAATAAGCTCTCTTTCTTACTGAAGATGATGATTATCATGATGGTGATGATGAAGGAAACGAGATGGACAACAATGCTGAACTTAATGAGGATTTATCCACTGAATATATCCTGTTACAATTACAACTCATGGACGAACACAAACTTAAGCGAGCGAAAAAAAGTTCTTGAAGTTATTAAAAAATCAGAGCGAGTAAAAAAAAAAAAGATAATGAAAAAATGTACAGTGATAAAGTTCCAACCGGTCTTAAAGCATCAATTATTTTGTATGATATACAACAAAAAACTAAAAAACTTCACAACCCTGCTTTTATGCTGATTTTGAGGTAACTCAAGCTTGATGAACGCTTGGTTATGAACAAGTATGCCAAATTCGCGGTTCAGTTAACGAAAACGGAACGAGCTCAACAGAAGCAAAGAAGCAGATGTTCCACAAATTCTCCCTCAACACCTACAACCCTCCTTTCTCCCACGAAACTGTCAACAAGTTCCGGCTCAAAAAGCAATAAACGACGCAAAATCAGAAGAACTGTTGCAGACAGTGAAAGAGAACGGGCAGCGCAAAAAACCAAACGAGAAGAAGGAGCAGCAGAAGAAGAAGACTCCGAATCATACGAAACGCCCAATAACGATTCAGATTCTGCAGCGACAGAGAAGACAAAGACGAAAACAAAAAAATGGCAAGATTACACTAGCTGAAGAAAAACTATTGAAAGCTAAATTTCCAAGTAAAGTTCCAGCATTGTTTGGCAGTGTACAGAATCTAAAAAAGGAATCAAAAATTTCACAAAGTAAAGTGAAACATTTTTTACATACAGAGCCTGCGAATCCAAAATATCGAACAGTTCGTCGCAAAACACCACGCCTTAAAATGAACATTTGTCAATTGACCTGACGTATGTTGATAAACTTGCACATTACAACAAAAAAATTAAATATCATCCCGCTATCTACGTGCAAAACCATTGAAATCAGAGTATGACACCTCAACTGCGGAGGCATTCAAACAAATGTTAAAACCAAAAGTGCCAAAAAAAAATAATGGATAGATAAAGGCACAGAGTTTAAGGAGTCATTCGAAAATGCAGGTGAGGCCAAGGGCATCGAAACATATACAACAGAGAGTTTAAAAAAATCAGCTTTCGCGGAGAGGAACATTCGATCACTAAAGGGTTTGAATAATAAGTATTTGGAGGACAAATGGACCTACTCATACATCGATAAGCTTCAAGTTTTTGTCAGCGCAATCAAATCGAGAACAAACCGCGTTACCAAATTAGCCCCGAATGAAGTTATCAAAAAGGACGTTTCACCAAACGAAGGCTAACATCTTCGTCTGTGAGCTCTGACAACACGTCCGCTTCAAGGATTCTCACTAGACCCGACAGCGATTTCAGGTCTGGAGCGACAATTAATGACTTGAGAATATCCAAACTAAGTATTTGGTCTTGCGGTCGACTTGCTGGACAAGACTTTTGTAACCTAAACGAACGAAATTTAGCTAGGATGCGGGCATATTGACCCTT